GGACTCCCCTGGACTCACCTGGGGACACCTGGCTACACCTGGGGACACCTGAACTCACCTGAGCACACCTGGGCACATCTGGTCTCACCTGAACTCACCTGGACACACCTGAGCACACCCCTGGGGACACCTGGCTACACCTGGGCACACACCTGGACACACCTGGGCACACCTGGGCCGCCCTGGACTCACCTGGGGACACCTGAGCACACCCCTGGGCACACCTGGGCACATCTGGTCTCACCTGAACTCACCTGGGGACACCTGAGCACACACCTGGACTCACCTAGGCACACCTGGGCAGCCCTGGACTCACCTGGGGACACACCTGGACTCACCTGGGCAGCCCTGGGCGCCCCTGGACTCACCTGGGGACACACCTGGACTCACCTGGGCACACCTGGGTGCCCCTGGACTCACCTGGGGACACACCTGGACTCACCTGGGCACACCTGGGCAGCCCTGCACTCACCTGCAGCGTGTGCTCGATGGCGTTGGGGAAGTTCTTGAGGGTGCAGATGGGAATGGCCTTCTCGGGGGGGTCCTGGCTGGAGCTGTAGGACTCGCTCAGGAACGGGATCACCACCTGCACGTTGCCCTTGGTGCCCAGCGTGCCCGACTCCAGCAGCGGCTTCCGGTAATAAACGCAGCGCCGGTCCATGTACAGCCCTGCCCGGGGTGGGGGGCACTTGTGGGGCAGCCCGGGGGGTGTGGGGCACACCCAGGGGATATAGGGGACCCTACAGGGATATAGGGGATCCTACAGGAACCACAGTCCATGTACAGCCCTGCCCGGGGTGGGGGGCACTTGTGGGGCAGCCTGAGGGGTGTGGAGCACACCCAGGAGATATAGGGTACACTCGCAGCTATGGGGCACAGGAGCTATAGGGCACACCCAGGGCTATGGGACACTCTCAGCTATAGGGCACAGGGACTATAGGGCACAGGGGCTATAGGGCACAAAACTATGGGGCACAGGAGCTATGGGGCACAGGGGCTATGGGGCACAGGAGCTATAGGGCAGAGAACTATGGGGCACAGGAGCCATAGGGCAAACCCAGGGGGTATAGGGCACAGGGGCTATGGGGCACAGGGGCTATAGGGCACAGAACTATGGGGCACAGGGGCTATGGGGCACAGGGGCTATGGGGCACAGGAGCTATGGGGAACACCCAGGGGCTATAGGGCACAGGGGCTATGGGGCACAGGGGCTATAGGGCACAGAACCATGGGGCACAGGAGCTATAGGGCACAGGAGCTATAGGGCACAGAACCTATGGGGCACAGAACCGTGGGGCACAGGAGCTATAGGGCACACCCAGGGCTATGGGGCACAGGAGCTATGGGGCAGCCCCACACTCACGAGCATCCACGTTGTCCAGCGCGTTGGCGACGCCGTCCAGCCCCTCGAAGAAGTCGTCGTCGTAGACGCGCTCGGT